AGTAGTTTTATTCCAGTAACTATTGGTTCAAAAAAATAATACAAGCAAAAACTAGGACCTTAAAAAAAACCTTTGATACCACTAAACCAATTTTCTTTAAAGAAATAAATAGCCACAATTCTTATGCTTGGGAGTATAAAGACAATATAATTAAATATAACGATATTACCTCAACAGGGCTTATTACACCCCACACCACGTCACCACCATCCGATAACATGGGATCAACGATCTACCTTCAATCTCAACCGGGAAAGCAAGTTTAGGCCAAGCCCTCCAATGGAACTATAAACTCTTACTGATCACAAAACTCAAACTTAAGTACAAACCTACAAAACATCTTCTTACTACTACTATCGAACCCTTTAGATCATCAAACTAAGATGAGAGAGAGATAACACCATCTAGGTGGGGCGTGCCCCTTACGTCAACCTAGAGAGAGAGATGGTCTAAGAGGTGGGGCGTGACCCATACTATAATCTAGAGAGAGAGCTTTTAGGGTTGGGTTGTGCCCCTTATAGTTACCAAAGAGAGAAAAAAAAATATTTAGAGAGAGAAGAGAGTTTTTTTTTGTAGAGATTTATGGGCAAGTGGTCCTCTATTTATAGTGCAAAAATATGATTATAGTTTATTAAGGTTTTTCATGGCTTGTCTCTTCTTGTGAGATTGAATATAAATTATCGTGGGATGAGATTGAATATAAATTATTGTGGGTGACTTGTGGGATGAGATATTTGAGCCCTCCATTCCATAGATGGGCATCAACATCATGGAATGTGCTAGAATCTGTATCCCCCTTTTCTAAACCATTTTTTCCATCAATATAAAATAAATAAAATAATTCTAAATATAATAATGTACATACCAAATTAATGCACTAGCCTTCTCATGCTTTCCAAAAATCCATACAAAGCTTCTTCAAGCCCATAGCTTTCCGAAACACATAACAACTTGGCCTTCAAGCCAAAGTCACTAATCAAACAAAATAGAAAGCCCCTAAATGGGTGGGGCATGCCACCTATGAGAAGATCTCACTGGCCCCACCATCTAGGCCATGGTGGTCCCATGTGCACAATGGGTCCCAATGCAATTTTAAATATTTTTTAAAAACTCAATAAAATAATTTTAGAATTTATTTGAATATTTAAATCAATATATTTATTTTTATAACTAAAATTTTGATAAATAAAATATCGATATTTCTAAAAATAAATAAATAATAATTCTAAAATCATATATATCATAAAAAAAACATAATTAAGTTTATTAGATGATAAAATGATATAGGAATTAAATCAATAAATATTGGGGCACTCCACCTTCAACTATGGACTACGGTCTACAATTGCTTTATCAAATTGACCTAGTGTTTACCATGACTCATAGTCCATACAAGGGGCTCATTAGTCATCAAAGTCTGGCCGATGAGTCAAGGGGTCGTAATCCTAGTTTGTAGATTTCAGGTTCTTCCCTAGAGACGTACTAAGGTCACCTAGACCTAATGTGACTACAGCTCCGATCGCGCATAGGGGCATCTCTCCCACATGCATAAGCTTCACCCTGAACGATAATTCGCTTTCTTGAATCGACTATCATATATGCATGCCATGTGGTGATACATGGATGAGGTATTGAGCCTCGTCTCCGAAGGCCACTATCACACATAAAGGTTTACACAATCCATCAGCTAACTCATCAGGGCATACTTCGACATCATCAAAGGATGACATATTAGAATCTTTACTAGATAGTTTTCTATGCCAAGGTAACATAAGTTTTTTCCAATCGACTGGTCTAGTTCAAAAAACTCAGTTCGGTATCAGCGAATGTTATTTGCTTAGTATAATCCACGATGGACCACACTTTCACTGAGTTCATGTTCTGTTATATCAAAATGTTTTATTACAACAACTCATAAGGCCTTTAATGGCCACACTCACCCAACATTTTTTATATGTGAACTCTCTAGTTCTCTCCCCCCTCTCCTCTCTCTCTCTCTCTTTCTCTCTCTCTCTCTCTACTTTGCAGAAAGGGCCAAGAACGGCCCGAGCTAACCCAGCCCAAGTATGCTCTATCTTGTTCTTTTTTGAAACTCTCTCTAGTATTTTATGAAACTCTCTCTCTCTCTCTCGTATTCTTATGAAACTCTCTTTCTCTCTATATGTCTTTTTAATTTGTTTAATTGAAAAAACTGTGATTCCCCATTGCAGAAATGCCTGCGCTATCAGAGACATGGGTCCAAGAACTCCAATTTGAATTTGTTTAATTTGAGAAAACTGTGATTCCTTGTGATTCCCCTTTGAAGAGAATGCCCGAACTATCAGAGACAAGGGCCCAAGAACCCGCCTCCAATTTGGATTTGAAGAACATGTATGCTCTCCCCTTGGTTTATTTTCTCTCTCTATCTCTCTCTCTCAAATGTTTCTTTAATTTGGGAAAGGTTTTTTATGAAACTTTCTGTCTCTCTATCAAAAGTTTCTTTAATTTGAAAAATTGTGATTCTCCTTTGCATAAAGTGCCCGAGCTATCAGAGACCGGGGTCTGAGAACTCATCTCTCCGATTTGGATTTGAGGACCAAGTACGTTCTCCCTAGTTTTTAATGAAACCTTCTCTCTCTCTCTCTAAATTCTCTCTTTCTCTCTCTCAAGTATTTATTTAATTTGAGAAAATTGTGATTCCCCAAAAAGTGGTCAAGCTATCAGAGACAAGGGTCCAAAAGCCATCTCCGATTTGGATCTCTTTTGCAGAAACTTGCTGAGCTATCAGAGACAAGGGTCCAATAACCCATCTCTCCAATTTGGATTTGAAGACCAAGTATGTTTTCCCTAGTTTTAATGAAATTCTCTCCCTCTAAATTATCTTATTCTCTCTAAAATTTTTTTCTCTCTCTCTCAAATGTTTATTTAATTTGAGAAAACTGCGATTCCCCAGAAATTGGCCGAGCTATCCGAGACAAGGGTCCAAAAACCCCTCTCCGATTTGGATTTGAAAGCCTAGTATGCTCACTCTCTCTGGTTTTTAATGAAACTTTATCTCTCTCTTTCCTTCAAATGTTTCTTTAATTTGAGAAAACTGTGATTCCCCTTTGCAAAAAATGCTTGAGCTATCAGAGAGAAGGGTCCAAGAACCGATCTCCGATTTGGTTTTGAATACCAAGTATTCCCTCTCCTTGGTTTTTAATGAAACTCTCTCTATCTCTTTCAAATCTTTCTTTAAGTTGAGAAATTGTGATATCCCCTCAAGAAAGTGCCCAAGCAATAAGAGACAAGGGTCCAAGAACCCATATCTGATTTGGATTAGAAGACCATGTATGCTTTCTTTAATGAAGTCTCTCTCTTTTAAATGTTTATGTTTCTTTGATTGATTCTATGATTTGTTTAATTTGAGAAAACCATGATTTCCATTTGCAGAAAGGGCTTGAATTATCATAACCGGCGGTCCACAAGAGCATAGTCTCGCGACTAGTTTCTTGTGGACAACAATTCGACGAAACTGACAATTACGTCTGAGTGACTAAGTTGAAGTTCAAGGTCATGCGGTTGAAGTGCCGATCGCCTCAAAATTGGGCACGAACGCAACCTCATGGGCCTAGAAGACCCTTTTCTACACAAGCCACAAAGATACGCCAAAGTATTTGGCACCAACCTAAGTGGCTGAATGTGCCTTCGTGAATATTGATATGCAATTGATATATTTCACCTTTTCCTCGAGTTTCCTCTAAACTCTATAATTAATTAGACAGAGTTCTTCATCTACCCATAAATTCAAACTGAACTTTTTATATTAGCTAAAGTTTTGTTAATATTTAAAATATATATTAATTTACTTTCTAATAACTTAAATTTTTTTATATATTTTCTAAAACCAAAGACGGCTAAAAAAACTCACTTTTCATCCCTCAATGCTTGCTCCATGGTTATTTTTCAAAGATGGGCAATGTTCAAGAAGGCGGATGTAGCTGCATAAGGGGCTAGATATACTTGGGCGGCCTAAGGGTTTGGGTATAGCCATATGTTGTTTTGTGCGTGTATGTGCATGCACACATAAGTGTGTGCGTGAGGTCTTGTAATAAATTTATAAAGACCAGCCTCTTTTTTTATTTATTTTTTCTTTTTGATATGTATTTGTGAGAGAGAGGTTTCAAACACTTAGGAGATATAGAGCGAAAGGGGAACATTGTATCGAATACTTGAAGGGAGCATATGAATCCGTGTGTATATTTGTGTGTGAGAGAGAGGCCATACATCGAACACTTGGAATGCGTCTTTTTTTTCTTCTTATCATATGTAGAAAGTAGATGGGATTCGAGAGAGAGGAAAAAGAGACGAGCAATACCGGGCATTCTTCATTTTATTCCGATAGATTTGAATTTATTTATTTATTATTAAGGGATGGCACTAAACGCTTGCCTAGGCACTTGCCTTAGCATGCTTGCCGGGACCCCACCACCTAAGCAGTTCGTAAGCTAGGCCATCTAAATGGCAAGGCGGCCGAGTTTTCGTTCATTAAAGATAGGATACGTTATAATGGGTAATTTAAAAAAAATAGTATGCAATAAGACCTTATACTATTAGTACAAAAAAGGTTCACATTTACCGGTAGTTGTTAGATGTGTGAACTACCCCTGAGGTTAGGAGTGGCACATGGCTCAGGTCAACCAAACATGAGTTCAGGTTTGGACCCAATGGATCGGTTCATCTATTTGACCTAGACCTTACTTGCCTTAGGTCAGGTCTCGGTCCACCGAGGGCCATAATATTTATGCATAAAACATGTAATATAACACACAACTTAATTTAGACCCACCAATGACCTAGACGTGACCCGGGTCTGGGTTCATTTCCCACTAGGACATAGTCAAAAGTGAAGAGCACACCGCATATCCATTTGGCGGACTCACTTAAAAATCAGGATTACATCGTCATTGGGAAAATTGTTTTGGGTTTTCTAGTCTTCATTTGCTCACGATAAATACTGAGGAGTACACCCACCTATATCTATCTCGTTTAGTTTGCTTGGAGTGCCCTACCGCTTGTTTGGGTTCAGTCTCTCATCTGTTTTTGTTTGCAGACGTTTCTCTCTCTTCAGACCTAACCCTAGTTTTTTGTTACTGCGGCTTCAAGGTTTCCCTATGAAAATTCTCTGCCTTATCTTTTATTTCTTCTCTCTTTTATTTGCCTGTTATGTGTACTATCAAAGATAATACCCAAGTTCATCTTGGGTATTTTATTTGTGGTTGGCTTTTAGTATGCGATCTCCGAAACCTAAACCCCAACACAAATGGAAGTCCTTGCCGCTGTTGTCAACGGTGTTTTATTTGGGTTGGAACTTCTTGTGATTTTAAAACCCTAGGTTTATTGTGTTGCTTATTAGTGATTTCTTTAAACCCTAGATCGTAGTTTGAATGATTTTCGTATTTGGATACCCATCTCTTGGTTTGAAACTGGGTTTTTCCATCATTTGCTTGTTGATTTCGAAGGGTTTGATTTATTGGGTTGATTTTGGCAGAATGGGTGAAGCAAAGGACAATGATACGTACCAGGAGGAGCTTCTCGACTACGAAGAGGAGGAGGAAATAGCCCCCGATTCCATCACGGCCAAAGGTGCCAGTGAATCGGTCAAAAAGTAAGATTCTTTGAGCTTTACACTTATTTTCTTTTTTTGTTTGAGTTTTTTTTTTTTGGCTTTTGGTGTTTTTATACCTTTTCTATCTTTTCATGTATCATTTTTTGCAGATATGCTAATATATTATTTTATTTTGTATTTGGTTTTGTGTTTTACAGTTCGTACTTATATCTAGTGATTGGGACAATCTACTTTTTTTTAGTGGACTTATGCTTTAATTCGGTAGATGCAGGGCTTGTATAGTGTTCAATTTTTTTTTTTGGTTTATAAGTGGGCTTATATTTGCTCGCTATTATTATGATTGCTTTTATTATTACTATCTTTCATTAGTTAACGCTGTTATTGATACTAGTTTAAAACCATAATTTGTGTTATTCTTATTATTATCGTTCTTATTTCTTGAGCTCCTTTTAATGTAAAAAGATGAACTATTTATTTTTATGAGTGGCTTAACCTATGAAAATTGACAACTGTCGTTCTCTCATTTCTGCTTATGAAACTATTGTGCATGATTAACGAATTTATTCTTTCACATTGCGTGTCCTAGTTCGTGTGACAAATTGTTTGATTCTTTTGCTCTTCTAATTGAAACATGTTGGAGGGTTAGATGAATGTTATAGTTTCTTTGTATTGTACCAGTTTGATATATATTTCCTAAAGACCTTTGTGCATCGGTGCATGCATTTGATGATGTTCTACATTTATCTGAATTTCACTTAAAATGCTTATTTTTATTTGTTATCATACTACAATATGATGCTGCTTTGTATATATTACAAAATTGATTCAATTTTGATGCATTGTGATGTGTTATTTTTTTTTTTTGAGAATTTCTGGAGTAATTTTTCAGTTGGAAATTATTGTTTTGGAAAAACAAATTATTATATAGAATTGAGAATATTGATTTTGTGGTGCCTGATTGAGTTCTGCGCCTGACTTGTGGTGCCTGTTTGAGTTGCTGCTTTGATTAACATAAACTCGATGTCTACCCCCACCTTACTGCCCTTGACACTGTGCCAACTCTGGCAATTGAGTGGGAATGAAAAGATGAAAGTGGGTTTCACGGGTGAGAGAGATTTCTTGGGAAAGTGTGATTATAGCCAGCACAAAGGGCCCGTTTGGATTCTCAGAAAGACATTGAAAAAATCTAGTTCCTGCAAAATTCATTTCCTGTGAAACATATTTCGTGAAAAATAGATTTTTTTTGTTTGGATAGCATTTGGATGCATCTTGGGGTTCCCTAAATTTAGATATATTGGCTTCTCATATTGATTACTGTCAAGGAACATTGTATCTTAGTGATCAAAAGATTATCAAGAAAAACGCCTCTAAACTTAAGGTCACCCGTCAAGGTGTATGAGATAGGGGTGGGAAAAAGGTCGGGTCGACTGTAGATCCGACTGGATTGGATTTGGATCCACCTCCGCTTGACCTTGACCTGAACCTGAAAAAATCCGGGTCCAGGTTTGGGTTCGGTTCGAATTCAGGCCCCGGCTTGGACCTTGACCTGACCTAGCTTGGTCATTATTTTAGATGCATTTATGATGCTTGAGAGGGGTTTGCTGCAAAAGATTTGTTTTAGAGATGGTTATGAGAAAATGCTCATAACAAAATGTCTCTATTTGTGGTGACATTTGCGAGCATTTTAAGGTGTTGGTAGTTAGTCAAAGGAAGCTGTATGGCTCCGTTCTATCCTTTATGTTCTGAGGGTTTTATGATTTCTATGTTGCTTAGATGTTGCTGATTTTCATTTTGCATGTGGTGACGTATTTTTTGGTTGCTTGTGAATGTAGGGGCTATGTTGGGATTCACAGTTCAGGATTTAGGGACTTTCTTTTGAAACCAGAACTTCTTCGAGCTATTGTGGACTCTGGATTTGAGCACCCTTCAGAAGGCAAATTCATCACTGATCATACATGCATTTATTTAATATCTCATGAAATGCTAGTAGATTTGTTTCTTTCAGTTTGTATCCTATCTCATCGTGGTGCTTTTTATAATGACTTCCTCTTGTGTCCATCTGTAAATGGTTAATTTGATATGATAGGTGGATTTCCCTTAGTTATGGGAAGTAATTATGACTGTTTTGTTATGATCATATGAACATTTTTTTGATTGAATAGGAATGTTGTTAGGTTCCAAGAAATAAATTTTGACTGAATATTTTCTATTTGAAATATTTGAACTTTTTAGAATGTATCAATGTTTTGTATGTTTTGCTGGCTTCATCATGGGATTCACCCTGGGATGTTGTGCTGCAGCGTCTAAATTAACTAGTCACCAAGTGTAAGCCTCAGTGATTCATTATTTTTATGAGGTGGTCCTTTTACATGAATAAGCATGTGGCCTTTTCATAATTGATGGGGTACTATACGAGTATTTTTGTACGTATCCCATATTAAGTTGATGCGGTATGTATTGAAAAGAACTTTAGAACATTTTTGTACTTTGGACATGTTTGTTATGGGGTTAAATAGGAGGCTTTTTTGGGATTGTTTTAGTTGTTGGAGTTTTATGTTTTGCTGTTTTTTTTTTTGGAGAAACAAAATATATATATATATATATATATATATATATATATATATATATATAT